ATATGTATGTCTGTATATATATATATATATATATATATATATATATATATATATATATATATATATATATGTGTGTGTGTGTGTGTGTGTGTGTATGTGCGCGTGTGCGCGCGTGTGTAAAATGTCAGATAAAACTTTCCGGTCTTTTGAACTGGAGTAGAAGTTTATCCTTTGTTCTCCGTTTAGGATTGTGTTTCCGGTTCCTTCAAAACTTTGTCCTTTCTCTTTTTTACCCTGACCACAACAATCTTGACCCCTTCAAGTCGAGAATTAACCATTATCTTTCCTGTTTATACCCTGGAACATCACTTTTGGGACTTCCTTACTCTCATACAACACCGTAACCTTCTACCTTGAGTGGTTATTGTGTCTTATATATATATATATATAATGCAAGACTCACCAAACTGATTGAGTTCTTTAAGTTACCGGTGTGTTTACGCAAAAATTCACCTTTGTCTCTTAATCTGTCCAGCACCGTAGGGAGTAAAGAGCGAATTTGTAAAATGTCACTATTACTGCTGACAATGCATGATGATTGAGTTCTCAGAAGTTACTGCTGTGTTTATGGAAAACTAAATACGCAAAAATTCGCCTTTCTCTCTGCCGGGCGTCCATGGCCTAGGGGTTAGAATCTCCGACTGATACCAATTCGGTCGGCTTTCTGTATTGGCCTGAGGCAATCGGATGTCTATCCACACTGATGTGCTAATATATATATATATATATATATATATATATATATATATATATATATACAGATATATATGTATCGGCTGAAACAGCATAATTGCCCATCCAACAAAACGTTCGATATCTAAAAATAGCCTAATTGAGTTTCTTTTTTTTCCAGGTTTTCAGATAAGCCATCTTGACACCTTTGATTTATTTAATTCGAAAAGGAACAGGTTAAAATCGTTTTTTATCAGCTCCCAACTTAGCAATGGTGAGAGGAAAAAGATCATTCAGGCCTTCAGTAATGGTACCAACATTCCTTCTCTGGTTTCCATCTTCAAAGTCGATTTAAGATCTATCAAGAGAACGATGAATAAGTTTACAAAGTGTGAACAGTAGAGAGGATAATGGAACTGGAGGTCACAATAGGAAGAGGGGGTGTCATCATTTCAACTTAGAACTAAAGAGATCAACTCAATCCATAAGACGTTTGGCATGTGAGGGATGTGTTTCAGCAATGATAGTCCAACGAAAAGTGAAAAATGACATGAAAATGAAACGTGTGAGGCACATCCAGGACAGAAAGTTAGAAGGTTAGATAGGGCGAGGATTATCTTGAATAATTTGAAACACACACACATATATATATATATATGTTTGTGTGTGTGTGTTGAATTTATTTCAATCCTTCATGAGCATCCGATCCTTAACTATGATTAATGAATGGTGAGCATGTCATTTTCCTTTATGATTTGAACAATTTTGTTGTTACACCCGGTATATATATATATATATATATATATATATATATATATATATATATATATATATATATATGTGTGTGTGTGTGTGTGTATGTATATATTTGGCTATTTTATCTATTGTTGAAGATTGAGAAAGGATATGAAAATGATAGTTTCGAGGGGTAAGAGCAATATTTATTAATATATTTTATTTAAGGCAGTTATATTTTAAGGGAAAAATGATAGTCATAGAGTGTGGATATAGGAATCAAAACTGCATGGCGACAGTTTCACATTTCGGTGCAATTTTCAAATCAGTTAATCTCTACCTATACAATGACCTGAAACTCTCGTTTTTGTGCACAAACCTCAGGTAAGTCGCCTTAGCTGAGTTCAAGCACATGTGTATTTGTTCAACACTCACGTAGCCCAGCTGTGGTTCATGCTACAACTATTTTGAGTAAATCTTAGTAACAGTTTCTGGGTGAGCGCCTAATCTCTTCCTGAACATCAGTTTGAATAATGCCAATACGCTCACACCCTCGATCCGATAATTTGTGAATTTATGCTAACACAAAAAATCGACAGCTTCCGGATACAGTGTGTTGCATCAAAATCCGACACTTGACCAAAAGAAAATGAAATAGGCAACAAAAACAAAAGTTGTATATACAGTTACCCGATAGTTTGACAACTAACTAACGTTTTTCTGTCTACGCTTTTCCAGGATGGAATATCAGCGCAAAGCAGAGGTAATAGGTTCTTCGGAAGTGATGGCCTGGTTTGGGTTCAAGAGGACCATGGTCATGGACATTTGGAGAAACTGGAAGTCGTGTGAGAACAAGGACGAGTTTATTGCCAAACGAAAGGCCCACAACGTTCTACGGCCGTTAGGATCGACGAGTGCGTCGCTGCCGTCAAGGAGACAGTCGAAAATGCTGGAAGCCAGAGCTACGCCAAGATCGCCGCTGAAATGGACAGTCACAAGTCGACGATGTGCCGAATGATCAAGAAGGATATTGGTTAGTCCTCCTACCGCAAGTCTCGTCGCATGCTCATCACAAATGCCCCCAAGGGGTCGAGGAAGGTCATGGCGGCAGCTTTGCTGAACGAGCCCAAGCATGGGTCCGCCGTGGTGCTGAGGTTCTTCTCTGATGAAAAGAATTTCATCCAGGACCAGACGGGTAACAGGCCGAACGACAGGTGGATCTGCAAAGATATCGAGGAGGTTCCCGTCGTGAAGCATACGAAGTTTCCCATCTCCGTCATGGTCCTTGGCGTCACTCCAGCCAGGGTGACGTCATGCCTACGTTCTTCTTTCAAAAGGGCTTGAGAGTCACCGCTGAGATCTACCAGGAGGTGCTGAGGAGCGTAGTGAAGCCCTTGATGGACGAGATCGCTGCCGGACGCCCATAGGTCTTCCAGCAGGACTCCGCTCCTGTACACAGATCCAAGACGACTGCTCAACAATGTTCCTCACCACTGGTCACCAGACTTGTGTCCGCCTTCCTCACCCGACTGCAACCCCCTTGACTATTTCCTCTAGGCCGTGATCAAGGCCAAGACCAACAAGCATACCCACAGTCGACTCTGTGAAGGCTGTCATCGTGGAGGCTTTGGTCGCTATGGACAAGGACATGGTCGCAAAAGCGTGTGACTCATTTCGTGCCCGCCTTGAGATGGTCATCGCAGCCGGCGGAAGTTACACTGAAAAATAATGTAGTATGTAATTCTAACTGTTGCTAAATAAAATGTCGAATCTCTGCATATACAAATTTGGTTTTTATTGCCTATTTCATTTTCTTTTGGTCACGTGTCGGATTTTGATGGAACACCTTGTAGTCTGGTTTCGATCCTAGCTAGAGGCAACCGGATGTCTAGTCACAATGATGAGCTGTGATACAGAGAAACAGTCTGTCTGTGGATCAAATATATATATATATATATATATATATATATATATATATATATATATATATATATATATATATATATAGGTAACATGAGAAAGAATAAAGTAAAATTCCACCGTTCGTAACATTTAATTTAAAAGAGAGCTCAATACAAAATACAGCAATATTATTTATTTTAGGATATTACACCGAGAAATCAAGGAAATAAATTAACAGTAAATTGGAAACATAGTTTACCTTACAATATAGTTGAACTTTGAGATTTGATTGTTTTTACTTATATATTAGTTCTACTGCGTTTCACTATATATTGTTTATCTTTATATTTCTGGAATTGGTTTTGATTTAATGTAATGGAATATTAATCACCCAAGTAGTATTAGTAACATCTTACGGATGTATTGGTATTTGGTGGTATTTGGTAGCATTTTGTTAAATTAACTTTCCACCCAATTTCTTAGAATACGGCATTGTCTAGTTTGTATAATATTTGTAACCATTTGCATCCTCTTAAACTTTAATTTTGTCTGGTTGCTGTTAGCTTCCAGTCCACGGGCCATGACCTATTTGTAAAAAGAATTTTTAATATTTGCTTCTTTGCTTAGTTTAAATTTAACGTAGTAAAGCCCAGAAACCTTATAACCCACTCTTTCGTAAAAAGAGGTTGTATTTTGTTTTTAAATCTAAATAAATCGTTTACGCGCCAGCAATTTACAATCATGAGATACATTGATAAACATCGAAATACGACTGCTATCGTGTTGTGATTTTGATAATGTTTTCGATGTAATATCCTAAAATATATATATATATATATATATATATATATATATATATATATATATATATATATATATATATATATATATATATATAAATATTTTATGCAAAGCAAGACAATAAAGCCACAAGGATTTACAGGTTACAAAATAAAATAGATTGGCTGTTTTGGTTGTTTTGTTTTATAGCATATCAATCTCAATGGGTCATTTAATGCCAACAAAATTTTTAGAATAGCTTCATAGCAATAGTCTGGTAAAAAAGGTCTGTATGTATACATATATATTTGAGCCATTTTTAATTACTCATATTTTTTAGTACAATTATACGTATTGCTGGTAATATCTTTTTTTTTTTTTCAAAAATGTATTGCTGGTTATAGTTTTTCAAAAATACATTGCTGGAAATAGTTTTTTCTTCAAAAATTTATTTCTGGTAATAATTTTTTACAAAGTATTTCTTCTATTAAAATCTATTTTTATACTTTTATAATGCCTTTTACACCAGTTTGGTGTTAACTATTTGCCCATAGCTGGGGCCCTAAAAGGTGCTACCACCTCAGGTCAGAGTGGACCTGGGAACACCAGCAATTATTAAGTGGTTGCACGCTCCTCAAAACATCCTTATCTTGCTGTTGGACGTAGTTTATCATCATACTCATGACGCCCCATTGGTGGAGGGGTGGTCTGACCCTTTTGCAGAAGTGCAGTCGGCGTATTCTACAGCCTCGACATGGAGGGATATACAATAGAGTTAAGGAAACTGAGAAGAGGAGAAAGGATAATAAAAAGAACAAGATTCATGGAGGCTGAAGGTGACAATTGACATTACATTTGAATTTCTGGAGAGAGAAGTTGGCAGAATAGACCTTGCGGATACATTTACCAATTTAAAAAATATTTGAAGAGATATATAGATAGAGAGTAAGAGTGAAAGAGAGAAAGAGAAAGAGCGTGAAAAGGAGAGAGTGAAAGAGAGAGAGAGAGTGAGAAGGAGTGAGAAAGAGAAAGCGTGAAAAAGAGAGAATGAAAGAGAGAGAGAGACCGTGAAAGAGAGAGAGAGAGAGAGAGAGAGAGAGGGAGAGAGAGAGAGCGTTAATTGATAGTACCCTAGGAGCTCCAACGCTAATTTTCACTGCTGACAAGATCTTTTTATGTCAGAAAATCATGTAACACAAATTTTGTCCTCATCTAATCTTTACACCCACCCGCCTAAACGCACACACGCACACATACGCACACACACACACATATATATGATAATAAAAAAAGACTTAAATATTGATCATATAGTCAGTTATATATATATATATATATATATATATATATATATATATATATATATTGATACGACTTGGTAAGATAAATAGAATATTCTATCTTCCCCCCATGAATATGGAATCGGCTATTGCTCAACATTTAGTTGAGAATATAGCCTGCGCCAAGTTGTTTAAAAAAGAGTGGTTTAAAATTATTCATACAGCCGATTCCAAGAATTATTTGAAGATTTTGGAATCGGTCTGCATAGGATTAAGGAAACCTTCTCTCTGCCGGCAGAAAGAATTTTTAAAGTCTCTTAATCTGTTGGGGGATATTTTATTTTAACTGTCCCTCGCTAATTTATTTACACGATTATTTCCCCTCCCCTCGTTACAAGGATATACACTTATTTGTTATTTTAGTGTGTTTCCCCCCTCTTTTTGCTCTTCATTTTCGTTACTATTCTTTTCGTTAATTAATTATCCAACGATTGTCTCCTGATGAGATGTTGGCTGAAAGGGCCCTAGAGACTTTTAAAATTAAAATCAATGCATTCCTTGTTTTTAAAACTATATATAAATTTTGTACCTCCAAACATTTGTATATATATATATATATATATATATGTGTGTGTGTGTGTGTGTGTGTTTGTGTGTGTTTGTGTTTGTGTGTGTGTGTATGTGTGTGTTTGTATATGTGTGTGAGTGTATAGTCGCGGGAATACCCATCTACGAGGTCAAGACCTATATTGTAGTTGATCATAATGCCAGAAGACTGATTCCTCAGACTGTGATGCTGAACTGATAAAGACTGTCAATGTGGAATTGTATGACACACAATGTTTTTCCTAGGTTTTCATCTGTGTGGTTGTTATTCATCCATTTCATGTGTCAATAGAGCTGCATGCAAATCTGATGAGCTGGTCATACGACAAGTGTTCAAAGTTCATCAAGAATTTTGTTGCATGATTTCTAGAACGAAAAGTCCTAACGAACCTTGAACACTCACCCCCGATTTTTGTGATCGATGTGGAACCTGAAAGAATAAAATTTGCTCCTGGTTTTCTCAGCTGGTTGATTGTTTTTGAAGCTTTTCATTAGCAGAATTGAAAAGATAAACAAACGAAATGATTTTGATTTGCTGGAATCGTTCTAGACTATTTCGCAAATTGTCTTACTGTTTAGTGTTTTTGTTTACCGATACTTAAAAACCGTCAGTCAAACAAAAAGAAATGGAATTAAAGAAAAAAACAATGTAATTTTTTTTAAAAATCAAGTTGTAAATCTAATATAATTTCTAAAGTAGTATTTATGGCCATTCAAAACGAATGCGATTAGTCTTCAAATGAACACAGCACGAAGAGAAATACAGACATGAATACTTCATTATACTGAAAATAAAGGGATCCAAAAGTTATGAACTACTTAACACCACCCCAGTCTAAAAATTCTCCATGTTAAATGGTCAAGCAGACTGGATTAAATCTGATAGTATTAACTTATTTTTTGTGTTATGTTTCTAAATGGGAAAGGGTAATTTAGAGAAGAGGATGAAAATTTTATTTTTACTATGATTCATGCAATACAAGGCCCAAGAGCCACCCAAAATAGATAATTAAAAATAACGTTGTTTTAAGGATGTACAAGGAGGGAGGAAGTGCTGCCTATTATGTGGATATGTAAGATAGATAATAGTGGTACCCGACCGGAAGAGGTTAAGATTGTAGTGACCAGGCAAGCATCCTCTCGGAAGTCTGTTCCACAGTGCAACAGTTCTGGACAAGTGGAACTTCCTCCTTACTTATGGAATATGAAGGAATGAGAATGAATCGACTCTGAACGTGGCTTGGCGGGCATTAGCTTAAAGTTTGAACTGGTGGAACCAAGAATTGTAGATTCTCCGAACATTCGCCATGAAAACAGACATAGATGAGCCGGAGATATTATCAACGTTTCGCTTATGGGAAAGCGGTTGTTGTCGTGGTGGTGGAATTTTTTACACACAATGCCGCGTAATTTTTTGAACTTAGGTTTGAGCAACTCTGTCACAGAGGGAGCAGTAATAATCCATTTTTGGTTTGACCTGGCTCTTATATATATATATATATATATATATATATATATATATATATATATATATATATATATATCCAAGTATATAATTGGTATATGCAGAATGAATTCCAATAACCAACAATTACTATTCTTAAAAGAGTGCTCAATACAAAGTGGAGCAAATATAATTATTTTTTATAAAAAAAAAATTATAACATAAATATGTTATAAAATCACTACAAAAATAACCATTTTGTTTTAACACCCTCGATGTCAAGACAAAACAAAATGGCTATTTCTGTCGTGATTTTATAACATATTTATTTTATAATTTTTTTATAAAAAATAATTATATATATATATATATATATATATAGATAGATAGATAGATAGATAGATATTAACAGACTAAGATAGATAGATAGATAGATAGATAGATAGATTGCTAGAAGTTTAACGCATCCAAGGCAAGACGTTTTTATAAATAGTCAAGCTATAAAGCAATAATCAACAATAGAATAACATAGTTCCTTTAACTTATATATAAGTTGTGAACTTTTTAATTATTATTTTTTAACTTGTGAAATTTTAATTTTATTATTAATAATTATGTATAAACCTAGTGTTTTAACCTAGGGAATCCTAGTGAATAGAAAAATCAACGGAAGGTTGGTAATGAACGATAATATTTAGGATAAGAACAAGACACATAAGATTCGCCAGCCGCAGGTCGAAGAAGCAGAGTCAAGTGATTTCCACCATGAATATTCAACTGCAGACCAACATAAAGTATTTACTACTGTATTTATGTAAATGGGGCCTATCGTCCGTAACTTTGCCACAGCACCTAGATATGTATACATGCCTGTATTCATCGATTTATTTCTCAAACACAATTACTCCATGCATTTGGAAAATTAAATGAAATGAATAAAGAAAGAGATTAAATTGCATGTATGTAATAACCCCCCTCTCTCTCTTTCCCTATTTACCTATCTATCTATTCCTGCATACCAATTGCACTGTATTGTGTTGCCATGTAGTCTAGGTTACATTTGTTATTCGTGTACATTTGTGGCTAGTCTGTCTTCAATGTTTAAGGTGTTTAGTAGTGTGTTAACTGAAGTGTCCCGTTTAACAATGGCAGGATAATCATATCGTGAGCAGGCAGATATGGTTTTGTACATACGAACGCACGAATGGTAATGGACACGAGTTTGCACGGCTGTATCAGATTGCGTCTCCAGACCAAAGGCAAACGGGTCATCCAAACTTTGCTGCTGTTTATCGTCGCGTTGCTGAGACAGGATCCGTGGCTCCACAAACTATAGACGGAGGAAGACCAAGTTCCGCTCATACGTGTGACCACGAAGAACACACTCTACAGTCTGTCGGAGACGATCCATGTATCAGCACACGTCAAGTGGCCCTAGCATGTCGTTCATCTCATAGTACCATATGGAGGGTACTTAAAGAGCAGCTCTTGTATCCGTATCATTTGTAACGTTTGCAGGGTCTATGATCACTAACCACGAGGGAACTTTCGCCGATGGTTTATTGCACAAACTGCCGATCCGTTGTCTGCCTTTTCAGGTTGGTTTACGGATAAGGCAACAATTGAAAGAGACTGAATAACAAATTAACACAAACAACATATGAGAGTGGATCAAAATTAATATGGTACAATACAGACTAAACATCAGCATCAGTTTATGACTAATGCCTTGGCTAGAATTGTAGATGACTGTTTGGTAGGTTCATATATTCTCCCAGCATGTCTTACAGGGGCTGTCTACAGGGACTTTATTTCGAACACCTGCTAGAGGATGTACCCCTGCTAATACGAAGATGCATATGGCTCATACATTATAGTCTCCAGCACATTTTAGTCACAATGTGCAAGTGGAGGATATTTTACCTTATTTTGAACCCGCCCCAAAATTTTGTAAAAGTTTTTCTATACGTACATTTATCCAAGAATACAACATAAGTGTCTAAATTAAACGAATTGACAAGAAAAAACAGAATGCATAAAGGCTCCCGCACGAATTAGTGAGGTAAATTTAGTTTACCATGACCATCTGTGTAAATTCATATCAGAAGACAAGAAGTTTGAAATTTGATCTCTATTTTATTATACAGGGTGTCCATAAAGTTCGTGTGCACTTTAAAAATTTATAACTTTACTTGTATTTGCAATAGAAATAATTTGTTTGTAAAAAGGAGTAGAAAGAATTAAATCGATATTTTTTAAGGTTTTATTGAAATTTTATTTAAGTTTCCACATGTCTTCCATCATTTTCAATACAAAGGGTAATACGATTTTGCAGTTCACGGAAAACATTTGCCAACTGATTTACAGTAATGCCTGAAATCACATTAGTTATTTTAGCTATACTTAAAACTAGGTACATTTAACTTTATAACATTTTTTACAGATTATTTCTATCGCAAATACAAATAAAGATAAAAACTTTTGCACATGAACTTTATGGGCACCCTGTATATATATATATATATATATATATATATATATATATATATATTTATAAAACCCTGCATATATTTTATGAGTTGTTCCTATTGGTTTTATTTCATATTTAGATTCATACATCAATCAACGTTCTGAACGCCATCTTTGTTTTCCTCATTAATATTGTAAGTATACACTGAGGAATGTAATTTGGTGCTAAATAAATATTTATTCCTTATTTAGACTTCATAAGAAGCAGCCATCGAAAGACACATCTGCATATTTGGACACGTGATACAATTGGCCTCCCTATATTATTATACATTGAATCTCAGAAAACAGAAAGTTAGGTATTTCGCACTCTAAAGAAAGAAAGTTCTTTTATATTTACCAATGTCACTTCTATTAATATTTAGATTTCCCTCCGATAAGAAACAAATGATAGATTAAATTGCTTTTCTTAAACTTCGCAGGAAATAACACAAACACAGCTTGATTAGTTCTCGTGGTTTTTTTTCCGAATAAATTCATTTCAAATAGGGTGTTGGAACACATGTCAGTAGTATTTTGCAAAAATTATCGCTTGAATGCCTGATTTCAATTATGAATTTTAAATATTTATTATTTTAAATTGAAAATCGTGGAACATGAAACGCATTTTCAACATTTCATCCTCTTTTATTTCCGGTCATTAAAAAAAAAAAAATACAGCAAAAAGATGCGCGTTGTTTATAAGGATGGTGCCATAGATGTGTTGACTGTTTGTATGTTGTTCGCTAGATTCAGAAGTTGACATTTTGATCTGAAAGACAGAGAATGTTCTGGTAGATTAAAACGCGGATTAATAATAATTCTGGTCACACGACACGGGACACTGCAGAAGTACTCTACATATTTCATATAAGCGGCGTAAATCATTTGAAAACAATTGTATATGTATATCGTACCTCAGGATGTCTCGGAACAAATAAATTGTCTTGTGAGGAGCGAAAAGGTTGCTGGCGTAAGCGATACATACATACATACATACACACACACATATATATATATATATATATATATATATATATATATATATATATATAAAAGCGAACATTGAAGTCAACCCTTAGAGGCTATATATATATATATATATATATATATATATATATATATATATATATATATATGAACTAGCAACATGGCCCGGCGTTGCCCGTGCTTGATTCAAAAAATCGTACGATACAGCTATCGCTATCACTTGACTTAAAATATTGTTGTCCTTCCTTGCCTTTAAAGGAGTGCCCTTTGTCGTGCTGATGCTGCATGCCTTTTCTTGCCTATCTCACACTGAGAATTTAAGCTCTATACTAAACATTAAATCTGTTACGAAAAAAGAACTAAACAAAATGACAAAAACGATCAGTTTTAAAAAGGACTCTCCGAATGAAAAAAATGAATGTTAACAACAAAACTTTTCACACCCAACCCAGTTCTGCAGAATCAGTGTTGAGTTTAAGCAAGCGAATGAGCCAATTGAGTATCCATTTACATTTTCCCACTACATTGTCTTTTTGCATATCTACAATCTTCCAGCCTACGCCAGCTATATGCTCTCCTCTGGCCAGTAGAAAATAAACTACATATTAAAAAAAATTATTTCCACTATCAATGGGAAAGCAAGGTCGGTCTTAACCGCCAACTTGGAATGTGCATGTAAAATTTTGGTGCAAATCCGTCGAAAATTGCGGCCGTGCATTCGGACACACACACACACACATCCTGCCTTTTTTAGATAGAGATTATATAAATTTTATATATATATATATATATATATATATATATATATATATATATATATAATATATGTGTGTGTGTGTGTGTGTGTTATGAATACGATATTATGCCTTTGGGTCATGACAAATTTCCGAGTCTTTCAACCTCGTTCATCCATCTGCAGATTCACACTGCTTCTTTTCGTGTTTGCAAACTCTTTTAATATTATCACCTTTTTGAAATTTATTATTATATGCTTCTCTTCTTTACTACTGTTACACAATAGAATCTAGAATATAAACACACAACTTATTGGTCGATAATTACTACTTTTAAAGGGAAAGGAAGAACTTTGTAAAACATATTTAAAAGATACATTGCAGTATCTATCTATCTTGATATCTATCTATGTTAAACTATATATATATATATATATATATATATATTTCCTTTTCCCATCATTTCTGAATGAGAACCGATTAAATAGGTCAATGTCTGACTTTACTAATATTAAATATTATAATAAAATGAAATATTTTAGCTTAATACAGCCCGTCAAAAGTGTGAATTTTAAATTCATTTTTCGTTTGACGTTTTGAAAAGGAAGTCTGAACTTGAAAAAATCTAAATAAATTATTACAAATGGAAAAAATTAAATTAAACGCTCTATTAACATTGAGCTCTCAGGTTTTCATCCTCCTATTAATTTACCAAGATTTTCGTTACTTTAGAAAATTTAATATATATATATATATATATATATATATAGTCTAAATATCGCTTGAGGTATGAAAAAACTATTTTCAGTGTTGATTCCTGTATCCATACTGTTGTCTATATCTACAAACGCTCTATCTCTATGATTAGTTTCCTTCCCACATATATAGCAACTATTAAACGGAGGGGAAATGGACAGCGGCTCGGACTGAGGAATCGGAGAGCCGAGTTCAAATTCTAGTCGAATCCATTGCAGACACTTACGTGTTAATACTCTTGGGAAAGGTATTAATCCTTCTCTTCTCTCTCCAACTATGAGTAAATAGCAGGACAGACGGGGTTCTATAGTCTTGGATGGCAACTGGTCTAGGAGAAGGACAACTCTAAATTCAAAACTTGGTGAAAAGTCTTTTGGGGATCTTGTGGCACGTAATTCAGCCCTTCAAAATTGTGATTTGTTCTGCAATGTTCTGTTGATGCCTAGGAACTGAGCCGCTTGACACTGATACATCGAATACGACAGGAGAGTCCACTATATATATATATATATATATATATATATATATATATATATATATATATATATATATATTTGTTTTTCTCAGACCCCTTTAGGTTCCATGTAATAAATTATTTCACCTTTAAAAGGCCGTGGTTTAAATAATTTATTACATGGAACTTTAAAGTCCATTTTATTCAAACATATTTGCTCTGAGTATATATATATATATATATATATATATATATATATATATATATATAGGTCATAATTATTTTGTTTCTTAAAAAGTATCTTATGCTCTACTGTTTACATCGATCACTGTTATTTTTAAATAAAATAATTTGTGAACACCGGATTATAAATCTTACTGTTCTTTCTTATTTTAAACACACACACACACACACACACACACACACACACACACACACACACACACATATATATATATATATATATATATATATATATATATATATATATATGCAAATATATATTGTTAGGTTAATAATCCGAAGTTCTTCAGTATTTTTTTTAAATATATATATATAGAAATGGACAAAGTCCGACAATTTATTTATTAAAGACATTTTTAAAACGTTCTTTTTATAGATAAAGTATTGAAGTTTACTGTTTATAATGACAGGTTAAATAACCGTATACTGAGAAATTTTCATAGAAAATATTCGTCCTTTGAAAAATTTAAGCATTTAAATACTTGTATCTATAAAAGAACGTTAAACATAAAAATGTCGAATAAATTTTTTCTTTAATATATGAAAATTTCTAAATGATTCATGGAAGATTGAAGTAAAGCTAAATTCGACCTTGCCTAATATGTGGCCGATCGGTAAGGCACGTCATCGTAAAACAATCCTGAAAGGACATTTTCTATTCAGGCCGGTAAATAAATACTGTTTACTATAAACAGAGCATTTACTTAAATACTATCTATAAAAAACGTTAAACATAAAAATGTCTTTAATATATATATATATATATATATATATAAACAAAATTTGTCGGATTTTGATAGTAAAAAAGCTTACTCTCATACCTATTCCACCTTCATCGAGATAATTCCATTTTCGAGTCTTTTAATGTATGGTTGTCAACAGCATATGCAAACTAAAGACTGGATATAACAAAATGAAGCAAGGAAGAAAATTTAAATACATGAAGGAAAATGGAATATCGAAATCCGAAGACAACTGGAATGGCAAACAATATCTGAAGCTACTACGAAAATGTCTAAAAGGAAATGTCTTAAGGATCAAGAAAACTTAATTAGAAATAAACAAAAGGGTGCCGAATTCTTATGAAATCTTAATCTTTCTGTATGGCATTCAAGGTTGGATAATTTTCTTACAGATTAAGAGAAAACTTGAATCAACTGTCATGTGATTCTTCAGAAGCACGTTGAGAATACTAATGACTAGAGATGTCAAACATTTAAGGAAAATGGTAAAAAACGATATATTTAGAATTATAAAGAGACAGTTAAAATTTCTAGGATACATAATGATGAATAGGGCTTGAAGAATTTGAGATTCCTAGGGCATATTGAAAGTGAGAGGGAGAGAAGAAAATGGTGAGTAACTTACTTTGCTTGTGTATCTGGATGGCAGAACAATGATAGTGAAAAAACTATTATTAAGAACTACAAAATAGGAAGTCGTGGAGAGCTAACACAGTACATAGAAGAGCACTGTGATTCCATAACAAGCACTGCCCACGAAGTGTAGCGGAAAGTTTCAATATGCCGAAATTCTTCAAACTTTTAGGTAATATAAAAAATAGATTTTAACGATTGAGTTTGCAATCATGCTGAAAGAAGAGTCAATTTATGCGTTCGTCTTATGTGTATCAGTATTTGACTCGTTTCATAAAGAAATACTTGCATTTGTTTCTCTTTATAAGCAAAAAGCAGAAGAATATAAAAAGAGAAGAAGAATAGTGCTATCTTTGTGCAATTGGGAGAACTAAAAAAAAGAGTGTTTCACAGTTTATTCACTATTGCATTACGGCAAGTAAATGTTGTATATCAATTTGGTTCTATAGGGAAGAACTAGTGGTCCGAAAGTATCTGTGTAACACACACACACACACACACACACACACACACACATATATATATATATATATATATATATATATATATATATATATATATAGTTAAACCTAGAGAGCCAGACAAACCTACGATCCGCTTAGGTGAAACCTTGGTAGGTTTGTCTGGTTCTCTAGGTTTAACTAGGTCTGCTCTACTCATTGTATTGAGCACTTTATTTAGTTTTTTGGGGTCCTCGCATCGGGGTTTTTTTCTTTGGGTCTTGAACTCGTATGCTGGACGATTATTTTCGGTTAACGTACATGTTCTTGGTTCTTTCTTTTTATATAACTTTTTTCCCCTTTGATATTGGCTTGTTTATTTGCAAATCAATATACCGAAGGTTTTCCGAGCGAGTATAGTTTCTTATACTTATAAGATTTCTATTAAGTATATATATATATATATATATATATATATATATATATATATATATATATATATATATATATATATATATATATATATAGATAGATAGATAGATAGATAGATAGATAGATAGATAGATAGAGAGAGAGAGAGAGAGAAAGAGAAATAGAAGGAATGAGAATGTAAGAAATAGAATAAAATTAGAGAAAAATAGAATGAAAAGGAAAGAAAAAAGAGACAAAGCTATAAAGAGATAGATAGAGAAATATAGATAGATAAAGAGAAAAAAAGAAAAAAAGAAAGAAAGAAAAGGAGAAAAAAAAGAGATAGAATAGATAGATAATAGATAGATAGATAGATAGATTTGAAATAATGACTAAGATAGATAGATAGATAGATAGATAGATAGATTTGAACAGAATGAAAGATAGATAGATAGATAGATAGATAGATTTTGAAAGAATGACTAAGATAGATAGATAGATAGATAGATAGATAGATAGATAGATAGATAGATAGATAGATAGATAGATTTGAACAGAATGACTAAGATAGATATAGATAGATAGATAGATAGATAGATAGATAGATAGATTTGAACAGAATGACTAAGATAGATAGATAGATAGATAGATAGATAGATTTGAACAGAATGACTAAGATAGATAGATAGATAGATAGATAGATAGATAGATAGATAGATAGATAGATAGATTTGAACAGAATGACTAAGATAGATAGATAGATAGATAGATAGATAGATAGATAGATTTGAACAGAATGACTAAGATAGATAGATAGATAGATAGATAGATAGATAGATAGATAGATAGAACAGAATGACTAAGATAGATAGATAGATAGATAGATAGATATAATAGATAGATAGATACAGATTTGAACAGAATAAATAGATAGATAGATAGAAAAAGAAAGATATGAAAAATGAAGTATAAATGAAACAATAAATAACAGAAAAAAGAAAGAATGAAAAAGAAAGCAAAAGATAGATAGATAGATAGATAGATAGATAGATAGATAGAGAGAGAGAGAGAGAGAAAGAGAAATGGAATGATTGAAGAATAATAAAAGTAATACAAGAAAAACAGAAAAAAGAAAGAGAATGAAAAAGAAAGAAAAAGAGAGAATGGTATATACAGATAGATAGATAAACATAGATAAAGATAGAGGATGAGAGAAAAAGAAAGAAAGAACAGCAAAGAATCAGAGAGAAAGAAAAAGATAGAAACATACGGAGAAAAGGAGAAAGAAAAATGAAATTAGAAAGCGATGGACGAAGGACAAAAGGAAAAAAGAAAAAGAGTGAAAGAAAAAAAGAAATAGATAAACAAAGAAAAAGTGAGATAAACAGAAAAAAAATGAGAAAAATAAAAAAGAGGGTGAGGGGGAAAGAGAGTGACAAAGAGAAAGAGAGAGAAAATGAAAGCGGGAGATTTATTGTGGTGAAAGAGTCGTCCAGTGCAAACAGGTGTCAGGCTATGGAGGCGTGCACGTGCTACTATTTGCTCAATTATAACGGTTTGATGGAAATCAAATTGTGCGCTTTCGAGAGGCTGGATAGTCATTACAGAGGAGGTCCGTGCAGCATGAACGTGCCTCGTCAGTGGTGCTTCGATGTTCGTCTACAATGGTCAACATAAGTTCACCTTTGATGCTTGTGTCGAGAACGCTGAAGAGTGCAATATACGTCCAGGAAAACTGGTCAGAATATCCCGTGGGAGTAGAGTTTTGACGGTGATGGAATGCAGTTCTTTTATATAAGACCAAAAGATTGAAGACACGGAGACAGTTGCAGGAATTTGAAGAGTCAAAGCGTCTTGCACATGCAAGCCAGGATGTGGCGAGGACATTTTATTTACTGTAGAATAAGAGAACAATCTCGTTGTTCTTAGTTGTCCATTATATAAGCTTGGCCTCAAGAGGCTCTCAAGAAGGAATGTCGAAACCGGTCAGCCCATTTTTGTCATATTTATTTTGTTTTTGCATTTTGGTGAAAATTATTTTCACTTTACGCCTTTAGAATTATTTATTTTATTATCTTTTCTCTTCCCCCCATTGGTTGTATACATTTTTATATTTATTCCCTACTTCCATCAATATATATATATATATATACAGAAAAGAATGAGCAGCTCTGAAAGACGACTGCCCAATAGTAGCTAACTGACGTTAAAGTCCTCAATGCTAAAAGAAACTGTTTTGGATGTGTGAGTGGCGTCAGGGATAATGATTAGATGTTATCTCGAGAGCCGAATTCCGTTCCCAGTTGGGTTCATTATATTCATTTACGCGTAAATACCATTTACATACCAAAGTATGCATCCAATTCTCACCCTGCCATGGGTTAATTAGCATGACTTTTTCCCTAAATCATTATTATCACACCCCCATCTCAAAAAATAAAAATCTAAAAATATATCCAGGCTTTACATAACCTGTGAAGGGTTGAAAAACCGTAAAAATGAATCAATTAATCAATATATATATATATATATATATATATATATATATATATATATGAACAATAAAATCCAAAATCACCTCACATGTGTAATAGCCTATTTCGGCAAACGAAGATATCGGTCGTTTGTCTTATCAACCCCGGTGTGGACTGGCTTCGTGTCAGAAATAGAAATTTAACATTTCTCTATATTTCTGAGATGAGGTATTATGTACACTATTTACATTATTCGGACTGTTGTCCTCATCTTTGTCGCCATATTTATTACAACGTTTCGGCCGTTGTACGCTCCGGCCTTCTTCAGGTGGTTGGAATGTCGAACTGAACCCTTTATTTCGCTCACTGGGTAGACTGTTCTAGTTCCACGTGCCATGTTTTTTAATGGATGTTAGTTATCAGTTGAATAAAGGGTTCAGTTCGACATATCAATCACCAGAAGAAGTACAGTAGCCAAAACGTTGTAATAAATATGGCGACAAAGATGAGGACAATCGTCCGAATAATGTAAATAATATAGAAATTAAAGTTTAAAAAAAAAAATAAAAACACCTGTCGAAAAACCAATACAGAATTTATCAATTTAAAATTTTTCATTCAGACGAAAGGCACGAGACAGGGTTCAGGGGAGGGTGAAAAAAAGTTTGTTTTATAATTAATATTATGTAAAGAGGTCATAGAGGTGGGGGAATATAGAAATTAGAATTAGTTGTAAATTCGACATTTGAAGAGTTAGAGAGGAGTCAATGACGGAAATATAGTAGCTAAGTTAAACCTATATTATGGAAATTTGAATTTGTTTTTAACATTAATTTATTCCTGTTATATATGACCATATGGCATTCCTCTCGGCCAGACCGACAATATCAAAAGGAATACAGAACATTATATTTGGAGCCTACTTGGTACTAAGCGTTGACGGATTCAGAATTTTCTGTCTGGAGTTACTTTCAAAGAGTGTTTAGATAGGACAAAGGCAGCGGACGTTTAAATTAGGGCTTTCCATCTCTTCCAGATTGACTACCCACCCGGGCCGACAAGCTCCATCTAAGCGAAATATATATATATATATATATATATATATATATATATATATATATATATATATATATATATATATAGATCAAGGAACAGGTTAATAAAAAATATCCAAATGTTGGATAATGTTTGCCTTTATTTTCACCCGAAATTAAAGCAAATATACGGATTTAGAATGGTTCATGCTAAAACATGCTTGAATACTTTAGCTATGATCACCACTGCGATATCGAGAACAATGTATATATATATATATATATATATATATATATATATATATATATATATATATATATATATATATATATATATAATTAATGTAATTTAACAATATATGTTTAAACATATATACATATAAACCTCCATATATAGGCACACACATACACACACATACACATATATATATATGAAGAAATATAGTCATAAGGTGTGCTATATTTATGGGATAAAGTGTTCTATATTAGAGATGGAGCGTGTGTAAATATAAAAGTAAACATTAAAGTCAACACTTAAGAGTCGAAAATCTGTTTCATGTTAGACGCAATCGTCAGGCCACTGATTGCGTCTAGCAGGAAACAGACTGTCGCCTCTAAGTGTTGAATTCAATATTCACTTTATATATATATATATATATATATATATATATATATATATATATATCGGAGTTTTGTGATTGATACATCTTAGATGAGAGCTACTTCTTCCTCCTTCGTCTCACTTGTAATGGCTTCCGTCCTGTTTCGGTGTCCTTGTGAAATTGCTCTTGAGACTCATGTTGCATTTCCTGACATTCACATGTACATACATACATACATACATACATACATATATCTTGATTTCAAATACAGCAACTCAGCTGGGATCGAATATATACAAGGACAGTCAGATTTTGATGGAGTATAAACGTCGGGTATTGATCAATTTTCAAGATTTACCAGAGACTTTCGCACCTTTACTTCGAATAAAATTGTTTTGATGTAAAAAGGCCAATGCCAGCAATCAAATCTGTAATTTGGTCAAAAGTTAGGTATGATCACCACTGCGATATCGAGAACAATGAATATATATATATATATATTATAAATTGATTATTTAAAATATGTTTTTTTCCGCTACACAGTTCTAACCATGTTTCAAAATTTTTTGAAACATGGTTAGAACTGTGTAGCGGAAAAAAAAACATATTTTAAATCAATTAATTTATAATATTAATGCTCTGTAAATTTACATCGAGCACTATTTTTTTAAAATAAAAATACCTATAAGAACACCGGATTATATATCTTATATATATATATATGTTGTAACCTAGAAAGGGTTACTGAATGAGGAATTACCAAAACAGAGGTTGGAAAGGAAATGGTAATCCTTATAACATCAACAAAATACAATACTCATCAGCGGCGGGAAGTAGATAAACCACTGCTAGTGGTGGACTACTTAGACAGCATATCCCCCCCTACTTACAATAGTATTTATGAGGATTGGGACATACCAATTAGTGTTCATAGCTACGGTATATAACAAAATATCTTCGGTGTAATTTCGTTCCAATTATTCTTTTTTTTTTTTCAGATACGATTGAAAACCAAAGAAATTTATTTACTTAATATTTTTTTTTATTTTCTGTTCTCTCTTTAGGAAGTCTCTTCCGGTCTCTTGCTCAACCCAGTCAACTTTGACCGTCAAAAATGTAATTGCAATGTCAAGCGTTATCTTCTTAATTCTTAATTCTTATTCTTTGATTGTCCTCTCTCCTTTTGATAGTAGTTCTTTCTCTAAGACTCAGTAACATTTGGCGTCCTATTGACTTTATTTCTTTGATTGGGCTGAAATGATTAAAAAAAATAATATTCTTTTTTTTCGGACATTTTTCTGGTTTCCTGATAAAGCCTGCACATACATGTTCCCATTTGTTCTGAACGCTTTCCGCTTACATAAGCCATAATCAAGGAATTTGGATAGGCAAACTCATAAGTGGGACTTTTCAAGGATTCCGCCCCTCACACATTACTGAGTGCCATGTTTGTTTTTTTTGTTTTTTTTAATTTCTTTCAAGTTTTGCGTCTGCTTGTGATGCCTTGTCATTTCTTTCATAAAATATATGTTTCTTTCCTAAATTTAATTAACTTTTATTGACGCTGGCCTGTTTTTATGGTTCAGGCTTTTAATATTTGCAAGCGTTTTTAAAATTATTATTATTATTATTATTATTATTATTATTATTATTATTATTATCTTTTGATTTCTGGTATATACTCATTTCCGGGGAGCGACCAGAGACCTAAGATCAGAAATGCCATCATGAAAAAAAAAAAAAAAAAATCACACATATTTTACATAGATAAAGCCCTTATTAAGGCGTAGGCTGTACTTGTAAGAACATTTTTTTTATTTCTTTAAGACATAGGCTACCAGGAATCTCTTCAGTGAGTCTGTCGCGACCTTTTCTGATCAATCCGAGAGCGCTATTATTATTATTATTATTATTATTATTATTATTATTATTATTCCTTTGATTTCTGGTGTATACTCATTTGTTTCTGGGTCCCGCCCAGATATCTAAGGTCAGAAATGGCATCATGACATTTCCATTGACCAGATAAAACAGACACACACACATACACGCACGCACACACACATGCACACATATATATTTTATATAGACAAAGCCCTTCGTAAAGTGTGGGCTGTACTCATGAGAACATTTTTTTTGTATTTCTTTAAGGCATAGG